AAGATAAACGGATGCTTCCCTTGCTATATTCTTCCTCATCCTCCAAAGGCTCCTCCTTGATAATTTTTGCATTCACAACTCTGCTCGTTCTTTCAGAAAGCGGTGTATTGCTTCGTTTAACAAGATGTGCTGATCCACTCCTTTCAGCTTTATGCTATATAAGAATTTCTTTGCGACAATGATTTTCTTCATTAGCTCGTCAGAAATCTTACCCTTGTAGTTCTTCTACCCTGTTCGCCTGTGCAGCGTTTCTCATGTTTCTGCAAGTAAATGGATCGTCGAAATGCTGGAAATATCATATTTTCAGTAATTAACTTCGTCAATTCAACGGATTTTTTTCCCTAGGAAAGCGCTTACAGCTGTTGCACTTCTTACAGACATATTCAGATTGTGTTGAATGTGTCGTCTCATGAACTTTGAGATCGTTCTTTCGCACAAAGCTTCTCTCACAAAACAAACACTTAAATGGTCGATCCAGGGTATGAACGGAGCGAATATGTGCGGTCAAAGCCTGAAGTGTGAGATAAATAGGAAAGCAAGCGACATATTTGCTCACTCGCCTTAGTACACTTATAGCCAGGATGATCACACCCTTCATAGGGGCAAGCGTGGATTATTTGCTGGTGAACCATCATGTCATGACGGCGGAGCCCACCCGCGCGTCCGAAGACCATATCACAGTGTTCACATTTGAAGGGTCGGCGATTTCTGTAGCATTTACGAACTTACAGAAATAGAATATTTTGCTTGGATAGGAAAAATAATCTTGCTTGGAAATCGATTTGATAAAGATATCAGATCAATCTTCGCTAATATTTTAAGAAATGCTCGAATAATAACGCTAGAACAGGAAAAATGGAGATAAAAATTTGCTCAAACAGAATTCCAAAACATTTGCGTGAAATCACTAGTACAACAGAGACACTCTGTTATGTGATTCCCCTACACCGGAAAAGATATATAATTTTGCGGAATTCTTGGATAGAACCGAGAGTTGGTATTCAAAGTTCAAAGAATCGTCACTTCTACCTTTCTCGATAATATTGCTATTGATAGATATTGTTCAGAAGAGTAAATCTTGTACTTTTTGGTTCCTCGTGGGTTTTCCATTATGTTTTGCCTGCACAAATAAAAATGACGGAATGAGATCATTCAAGCTTTGATAATTACAATGCAAAACCACGCAAGAAATTCAAAAATACCTGTTACCATAGGTTTTAGAATCTCCTTTGAATTGCGCAGAACTTCTGCCTCGAGTTTCTCTTTGAGAAAATATGGCCCAGAAAAACGCCAAAAAAGCTAGTTTTCCCGTTTCCAGCTGCTTTGGCATTTCCAAAAATCATAACTTTCCATAGGAAGGCTCAATCGAGCCGAAAAACTTTGCACGGTCAGAAAGAGGAGGTCATAATATCCTAATTGTTTTGAATTTCTTTCATGGTTTATACGTTTGATGGGCATGCTCAAAAACACTGAAGCTTGGATAATCTCATTCCTTCGTTTTTATCTCTGCAATTAGAAATCAATGGGGAATCTACGAGGTAACTTTAAAAAGTACAGTTTTACCTTTTTTCAAGCGTAATTTTTTTGGAATTGGTGCGGATGATCGGCTCAGTTTCACTTAATTATCACTAACAAGAAAAGGATACTACGTCGAAGTGAGTTTCCATATGAAATGTATATTGTTTTCATAGAGAATGGAAGCTGATTCCAAATCTGTTTTCTGCATCTGCAAAACGCTTCTGGGAGGGAAATGGGCATTTGAGGAGGTTGAAGTTCAAGGATTTTGCTAAGTTAAAAACAAATGTTGAGATCTTTCCGACGCTTGGAAAGAGCAATGACCAGCATAAGTTTGTTAGAGTGATGGTATTCACTGCATGAAGCGCCCTGGCAGTAATCATGACCCCATTTGAGCTCACAAACTTTACTGTAGTTGCGCGTTGAAATTATTGCATCAACAAATTCTCACAACTACCTCCCAGAAGCGCTTTGCAGGTGCCGAAGGCAGTTCGGAATTGGCTTTCCACGCTCTTTGAAGCAGTCTACATTTCATAAGGGAACGTCACTTCGACTAACCTTTGATTCAAACAGATAGGCGGCTGGAAGGAGGGGTTTCGTGACCTAATTAAGGCTAAAAGTGAATAGAGAGCATGCGCGCGGGAGAGAAATAGATGCGGCGCGGGTGCGAACGGTCGCCCTTCTAGCGATCTATTCCATCGAATCAAAGGCAAGTATCCTCTCTTTGTAAGTGCAAAAACGGCAACTAGTGATGAAACTGCTATTTTACGAAGTGTCAAGGGAAACGAAGGTGCTATGGACATACTCATGAACAACATCCACATGTTCTTTTAGTTGGCTGTGAGCATTGTACACCTGTAATAACCAAATATAGCCATGTTATTTGTATATTACGTGCTACCTTGCTACAGTGCGGACAAACAAATACACTTGGTGAGATTGTCTCTCCATGCTGACGTGCTTCATGCCTTTGAGCTTTTTCTAATGTTTTGAAAATCTGTAGACATGCAAACTGAGAACCAGCAAAACTGATGTTATGACGATCACACAAGCAGACACATCAGAAACAAAACAAAGTCAATTTTATCGCAGCATGCGAAGGTGGGAAGTATCAGACATTAAAGCACAAAGCTGTAGGGCCATGCAAAAAGCATTAGTCTCTTTGTGCTAAAAGCTAATTTGCTACATTAATATACCGTGTTAAACCTAAACATTCTAAGTTAGTTTCAGTTTCGCACTTACAACGTTGACTAATTAGCTCAGAGAACTGACCATCATCTCCTAAATATTCACAGTCATGAGACCCAACATTACATCTACAATTATCACATCTATGTAGACAATTTTGTCTTAAAGAGGCTTTTAGATTCTTTTTCCTCAAAAATGCCGTATGACTTGATCCCCCGTACAGCCTCTGAGGCCGAACAACGTAATTGTGAGAGGCAGCCAGCTGCCTACTCACATGCTCTCAGCGATGCCATAAATCTTAGCAAAAACACGCAAGAAGTCACGAACATTCGTAGTATGCTCAAAGATATTTTCAAACTTAATTTGAATCAAGAAAAGGTAGATCTTTTCGAATCAAAGGACGCTTTTACCAAGAAAGATACTGTTCGAGCAAAACAACAGGACAATAGCAAAAAACATACCTTATTACACTTTGTACACTGGAACCTTTTGGAGATCGTCCGCACTGGTTTCTTTTTCACGCCATTTGGATATGGATTGTGGTACTAAAAAGGGCGAATTAGTGAGGTTACTGTTGAATACGGTCCTTCCAACACAGAATGCGAATAGATACAAGATTCGGGTATTAGCGAGTTACCTGGAAGAAATGCTGCTGAACATTCTGTTTCATGGTAAATAATCGATCACATTCATCGCACACAAACTTCTT